GCGCTCCATGGCTGGGCCGGGCGGAGCGGAACCCGCGAGGTGAAGCCCCCCGGGCCGGCGGCCGGAGCGCGTGGCGGGGGCGCCGGCTCCATGGGCAGCAGCGCACAGCGGCACGATGATGGACGTTAACAGCAGCGGCCGCCCGGACCTCTATGGGCACCTCCGCTCTTTGCTCCCGCCGGAGGTGGGGCGCGGGCTGCCGGACTTGAGCCCCGACGGCGCCGGCCCGGTCTCGGGCTCCTGGGCGCCGCACCTGCTGCGCGGGGTCCCAGAGGTGACGGCCAGCCCGGTGCCCACCTGGGACGCGCCGCCGGACAATGCTTCTGGCTGCGGGGAGCAGATCAACTACGGCAGAGCCGAGAAAGTTGTGATCGGCTCCATCCTGACGCTTATCACGCTGCTGACGATCGCCGGCAACTGCCTGGTGGTGATCTCGGTGTGCTTCGTCAAGAAGCTCCGCCAGCCCTCCAACTACCTGATCGTGTCCCTGGCGCTGGCCGACCTCTCGGTGGCCGTGGCGGTCATGCCCTTCGTCAGCGTCACCGACCTCATCGGGGGCAAGTGGATCTTTGGCCACTTCTTCTGCAACGTCTTCATCGCCATGGACGTCATGTGCTGCACGGCCTCGATCATGACCCTATGCGTGATCAGCATCGACAGGTAAGGGCCGGGCCGCCCCGTCCCGGGGTCCGGCTGCGGATGTGCTGGCAGCTCCACCGCGAGCGCTCGCCTTTCCGGGGAGGATAAGCCAGACTCCTCGGCGGGATGAAGGGCTGCGCCTAAAACATCAACCCCCACACATCAACCCTACACCAACCGAGCAACTACAGTTACAGTATAGCCTATATACACCTTTAAAAAAAGAGCCCGAAATGTTCTAGTTCACTGTAGTGAGGGCTTTAAGACCAAAGTTAAAGTATTTTAAGCATTAGCAGTTCCAGCACGGGGTCCCTTGGCTTGGTTTTTAGAAGGAACGGATTTGATCCTTTCTGAGCTCGACAAACCCTTGCTGTGAGTCTGAAAGTGTCATTTCTTACTTTAAGAAATCAGTCGTTGAAAAGCCTTCTTGCTTCCAGATTGTGGGAGCTGCCCCCAGGCAGGGGACTGAGGAGGGTTCCAGAATTGGGGGTTCTACATGTCTAAACGTTGCACCCCTATGACTGCTGATTCTGAATCTCATTCTCCTGGACGTCTGATTTTAGTGTTTGGAAACGCTGTCGGGGTCCTGCAGGCTTGCTGACTGGAGCCTTACTCTCTGTCTGAATGGTTGGTTCTAGCCTTTCATCATATCCCTTGAGAATCTTCTCTTGAGAACTCCCCAGTGGAGTAATTACAACAGAGGCTGACCATCTGTCAGAGATACTGGGGGAAAAATTCTGGTAAAATTCTTGGGTGTCAGATTGGGCTAGGAGATCCCTGAGGTTTCTTCAGACTCTAGGATTACAGGATGCTGCAATGGAGCTAGTCTTTGGTCCCTGAAACACTGTGCAACTGACAACTCGAAGGATGGTTCCAGTGTTCTTTGGCCACCTGATAACTCTGTTTCTCTTGAAACTGAAATAGTAAACCTTAGTGTTCATCCACATAATTCTGCTGGTGTTTTAAAACCTGCACAGGACTGGTATTGCTCATTTTCTTTGTGGACCTACAGAACCTTTAAATGTGTAAACCCTTCAGCATAGAAGAAATGATTGATGCCTCCACACTTAAAATGACAGTGCCTCAAAGGATGGTTTAGCAGGAAACTGAGATTTTCTTCCTTTTCCTCCCTGTAAACACTGCTATTTGTGGTTTGTTGGTATTTAACATGTTGTCCTGTTTTAGTGCTTGACCAGAGTTTATAATTACTGAATAAAGAGAATGATAGGAAAGGGGATATTTTCAAGGAAAAAATATATTGTAGCTGCGTTTAAAGATCTAGGTTATTTTTAAAGAATTGACCCTGCCATTTTATATATCATGTTAGGTAGGAGCTTCTGAGAGCAAACAAGGAATTATTTTTAAGAGTAGTGCACGGATGGTATATATGAGAATATTAGCTCAGAACTTGACAGCTGAAGTTCTGAATTACTGTAGTTAAGAATGACAAAAACATATGCACTCACAGTCTGGCTGTGGCAACAGGAAATAAGAGAGTGCATTCAATATACATAGTAAGTATATAAATGAATTGTAAGCATAAAAATTGGACTGCTAAGCCAACCAAATCGGCGCTTCTTGCATGAATGGAGTCCTTTTAAATGGAACTTAGTGTAGTACAACACATATAAATTTATGCTGCAAGAAATGCATTTATAATTTTTTTCCTTTCATAATTGATAAATGATAGGTAAACAGCACAGTATCCTAACTCATCTCCTAGCCCAGCCAGTGCTTCTGTCCTGCTTCTGTCCTGCTGGGCACATTCAGGTTTGGCTTGGGACCACCCTGAGATTCCTATACATGAGCTAAAGGCTTTCTTCACTAAGTGTGCACATGTGACTTACCAGCAAGCAGCAGGAATATCTTGATGACAGAGGTTAATCCTTCTTGGCAAGAGCTTCCAGTTTCTTCATCCAGTATATCCTTACGATTGTTACAAATTGTGGTAATATAGGGATATAGAGTCTATCTCTTTATTTCCTATGAGAATTGCTCCATTGGTGAATTCTGCTTAAAAAATTATTTTGGAGGATGAACATAGGTTTTTTTTTTTTTTAGATAAAATGAAGAATTGATGACAATGGAAGACATAAATTGCTTTTCTTCCAAGAACACACAAAAATAAAAATGAGAAAAAGGAAAATGCATTTGATATCTAAGGTGAATTACTTCTGGAGACTGTTTTCTTCAGTTTTATTGTAGAATATGACCAATGATATACAAATGTGCTAAGAAAATATGAAAAATTTTCATCTTCATTTATTCATTCCCTCTTGAATACAAGGTTAGGTTACAGTGTACTTTGTGCAGCATAATCAAAGATGAATAATAGTATTCCTGCCTTTGAGCTCTTACTGTATTGTGAGAGTTTGGATATCTTTTGAGCATTTAACGTGTCCAAAATGGAACCTTTGATTTTTCTTAACCACACCCCACCTTACAGGGATGCTTTTCTAGCCTTTTCAAATGCAATTCCATGCTGTTCTTCTGCAGAGTCTTCAACATTCCCTTCCCCATCCTTCTCAGATGATGATTCATGATCATTGAAGAAGTAGCAGTCATTGGATGGGAGCTTCATGATCTCTCCACTACCAAACAGTCTTTCTTACATCTGTTCCCTTTTTATTTCTGTCCAGTTAAAAGGCGAGAAGACATTGTACCCTGGCAAAGACCAAACCGCCTGCGCTCCCCATCCCACCCCCTCTCATCTCAAGGATCTTGTTCCTTCCTTGATCCCTCTTCTCTTCTTTGTCTTCAGTGTTTCCTCTCAACTGGGTCAAGCTTGATCTTCTATTTTCCTTTGGCCTTACTTCTCTCTTCAGTTACTTCTCCAGTTCACAGTTAAGCTGCTCAAAGAACTGTGCCCACAAGCTGTCTTTATTTCCTTCCTCCTCAGGTAGATGAGTTTGGCACTCTCAGGTCTACTGAAGTATTTTAACGGGCCTTCCTGGTTTCATTTCTATCCATCCCTCATCCATTGCCCATGAAGTAGCTAGAATGATCTCTTCTAAAAAAATTTGTTTTAAGTGAGATAACATTTACCTATAGTGAAATGCACAGATATTAAATGCAGAGCTTGATGTGTTCTGACAAATGTCTATACCCATGTAACCAACACTCCAATTGGGATATAGCATATTTTTATAATTTTAGAAAGTTGCCTTGTGCCCCTTTCAGAATGATCTTTTAAAACTAGAAATCAGGGGCGCCTGGGTGGCTCAGTTGGTTAAGTGTCTGACTCTTGATTTTGGCTCAGGTCATGATCTCAGGGTCCTGAGATCTTTGAACCCCGGGTGGGGCACTGCACTCAGTGGGAGTCTGCTTGAGATTCTTTCCCTCTTCCCCTCTCCTCACTTGCTCTCTCTCTCTCTCAAATAAATAAATAAATCTTTGAAAAAAATAAAAATAGAAATCAAATTATATTTTACATGCAGTTTAAAACATGCAAAAGAGTGCTATACATTGTTTAGGTGAGTTTATATAAAGAGTAAAGGAAAAAAGTGCAGAGGAATGGTGAACACCTCACTCATGGGAGTGGTTATCTCTGGGTAGGGGTGGGGGTGTAATGAGGGAGTAACACGCTTACCAACTATACCGGTAATGTTTTGTTTCTAATTTTGATAGGTGATACAGTCTTGTTATTCTTTATATAACCTTCTGTATGTCTGAAATATATTTTTAATGTCTTTTGGAAATACATATAGAAAATATACAATCCTAAGTATAGAGCTTGATGAATTTCCATGAAGTGAACACTTTGATGTAGTCTACCACTAGATCAAGAAATTGAACATTACCAACCTCCCAGAGGCCCCCTTCTGCCCCTTTCCAGTTTCTGATACTCCAAGGATAACTGTTACCCTGACTTTTAGCATTGTGAATTAATTTCACTTGGTTAGAACCTCATATAAATGGAACAATATAGTATGTACTCTTAATTCTGACTTCTTTTGCTCAGTATAATATCTGTGTGATTCATCCATAGTTTATAGTCTTTCGGTACTTTATTTTGTTTTATTTTATTTTATTTCATTTTTTTTGGTGGGTAATATTCCATTTAATTTGTTTATCAATTCACCTGTAGATGGACATTTGAATTGTTTCCAGTTTCTGGATCTTACTAATAGTGCTGCTATAAACATTTATTTGTATACAGGTCATTTTGTGGACTTGTTTCCATTTGTTTTGGGTAAATACAATACTGTATAGTTAAGGTTCCTTATTGTATTTTAATTCTATTTACCCCCTTACATCCTTTGTGTTATTGTTGTCATGCATTTTAATCTACATATTTAAAAGATCTGTTAGATATTATTTTTGTTATTTTAGACAGTCAGTATTCATTCTTATTTCCCCACACATTTACCTTTGCATTGTTCTTTATTTTTTTCCTACATTAACATGCTTTCATCTGGGATTATTTTCTTCTGCCCAGTTAAACTTTCTTTTTTTTTTAATTTAATTTTATTATGTTATGTTAGTCACCATACAATACGTCATTAGTTTTTGATGTAGTGATCCACAATTCATTGTTTTCGTATAATACCAGTTAAACTTTCATTAGCATTTTTAAAAGTGAGGGTTTGTTAGTAAAAATACTGTCAGTTTTTATTTATCTGAAGCTGTCTTAATTTTGCCATCATTTTTGAATGACATTTTCTCTGAGTATGTAATTCTGCATTTGAGGGGTTTTCAGCACTTTAAAACATTCTTCCATTGTCTTCAGGTTACCATCATTTCTGTTGAAAAATCAGCCGTTAACCAACATTATTATCATGCCTTTGAAGATAATGTCTTTTTTTCTTCTGCTTGCTTTTAGGATTTTCTCCTTATCTTTAATTTTTATCAGTTTTTCTGTGATGTCCCCAGGTGTGGCATTATTGATTATTTTTTGCTGTTTGTTTGCGGTCAACCCTGCTGGGATTCTTAGTAATTTTTGTATTTGTGCATTAAAGTCTCTAATCAGTTTGCTGTTATCTCTTTAAATAATTTTACTGTCCCATTCTTTCTCTCTTCTG